ATAATAATATATGAGGTATTAAGGTACAATCTGGCGCTTGTTCAAATAGTGAATTTAAAGACACTAGAATTTTTCCGCTGGTCTGGCAAAATTTATCCTTTTTTTTTTCTTAGCTCAACACCTTTTATGTCCAATTAAAACTAATTTCTGTGTGGACTTTAATTGAAAAAGAAACGTCGTTTAAAGCACAGAAAATATACATTTTCTGTTTCCATGCACTCTGAAGCTATTCTAGGTACACTTTGGCATCCATTTTCTCGGTAATTTCACCTCTGAAACCTAGCAAAAGCCACCTCCTTCAATCGCAAGTATCTCGACTTCTTTTCAAGATAAATGGATATTTTTTTCACCAAAAGCAAGACAAATGCACAAGATTTAAGATGATACCAACAAATCCACACGCCCGTAAATTGACGAGCGCCTGATTCCACCGCGTCGTGACACATATATTGATTCGAACCTTTCGAAGGCTTTTCTCAAAAGGGTGAGCACGAGTGGAATATCTCATGTCTCCTGTCTGTGATGAGCAATGCAGAATTTAAGTGGGTGGTTGGTGGGTGGTCTGACTGGCGTGGTTTGCTCCTTCTTTCCGATCAATCGTCTGTCATCCTGAGCTCTCCTCCTTTCTTTGTGTTTGGTGAAAAATGGTGAAGATGGTGTAGGTTTAACTTAACGTCCCTATCAACACTACTAGGTTATTTGAGAGGCCGGACCTCCGAGTTTAACGTCCATCTCCGAAAGGACCGAGCCAAATGGGAAATTCGTGTAAAGTGCCTGTCCCAAAGACACAACGTCGGACCGAGCTGAGGCTCGAACCCCCGAACCCCCGAACCCCCAACTTCACGATTACGTGTCTGGTAGCCTAACCACTAGGCCACCGACGCCACGTTTGTGTTTGTTATTCTCCTGTAACACCTGTAATCCTCGTCACCGTCACACATTATGACCTGCTTATTGTGTGGCAAGGGTCGTAAAACTCTTCACAAAGTAAACAAAATATATTGAAAATTGTAATACTATATTGTATGAGATCATGCTGGTGCTGCCCTCTATTGTCTGCACAATCTCCTCTCTTTCCAGTGGGTGGTTTGCTCCTACTTATCTTTCCTATCCAACATCTGATCTATTGTTGTTATCTGTTATCTTTCCTCCCGTCGTGTGTTTGCTTCTCTCTT